GGGGGGTATGGGGGGAGGAGTAAACTAAGCAAAAGATCGGGACAAGTGGGAATGAAACCTGGTGGGCGGTGGAAGTGCATTCCACGGTCCTAAAACCTGGAACACACTGCCTGAGAATTGATGATAACATCTTTTAACGGATCCGAGTCAACTCAAGTCATTTCAGTACTTGAAATAAAGAGATAATATATCCAGATTGACCTTTTGTAGGACTCCATAATATACTGTTAACGTGTTGCTATTTGTATTTATAAAGCGCCCAGAGCCTGTGTTCTCCAATCGGGGTTGAGCGCTATAATATGTCATATTAGTATATTTACTATTTTTAACTTTGAGCAGATTGAGAATTACCTACTCGTACTTCTATAAGAAATCCAGATCTAAAACAAGTAGGCGTATTAAGGTCAATTGTGTTTGAATTATCCTTACAGGAATCTTAATTGCTGACCAGATCACCGGAAATCTTGCTTAAGGCTGCTCTAAGGGCAGGCTCTCGGTAATGGGCGGCTCACATGCGGATATCGCTGGACTTTGTGTAAGTGGCCATGTTTTATTTAGCTGATTTTGTGCAAAGTGGCATTCTGAGTTTTGACAATATTTGTGTGGCAGTCTCAGGAAACAACGGAAAATTGCACTGATCAAAATCGGCTAGGAGAAAAATAGTAATAAATCAATCAAATGCCGATTGCATTTTTAAAACAAAACAAAACAAATAATCCTGTAAAGCAAGCAAGGTTTGCTTCATTTCGTAAAAGCTTATCTTTCAAAAACGAAAACATTTTCTTTGAAAATTATGTTCTTAGTCGTTTTGATATAGGTACTTTATTATACTCCTCATTCTTATGCTTGCTATTCCCTGTTCAATCCATCTACATTTCAGCTAAGTGTAGACTAGAATCGGAACTACTATGGATCAAAGTATTGTACTAAATTTTCGTTTTCTTTAATGTTTGCCCTCGTTTCATGACTCTATAAACCTATCTAATAAAACCTTACTATAAATCAAGCTCTTTAAAAGAAGAAACGGGTGGTTTTAAAAAGTTACAGATTTAAGAATAAAATGTCTTTATCGTTTAAAAAAATCTCACATCTGATCTTATTTTCTTTTGGTCTGACTCTGAACAATATAATTTTTGCATTTAAAAAATAGTCTTGTTTGGATTATAGTACGCCAGCTTTCATGTCTCGGTTGCTAAACCTACACGACAATAACACCCAGACACCCAACTCCAGAATGGTACTTGTACCCAATCGTTTGACTTGTCTGTGTCTGAAGAAAGTGTATTGTCGTTGTTGCAATAAGAGTGAGGCGACTCAACTGTCTGTCCTCGAGACAAATTCTAGGTGCAGATTCTAGAACGGAATTCTCGAGACAAGTTCTCGAGTTTTCAAGTGGGTGAGGAGCTGCCGAGACGAGAGGTCATTGACCCAATCCGTTTGTCCAGACAGGACTCAAGGCAATGGGAACAAAAAGAAGGCGTGTTTGGATTCCACTGCTATTTCCACTTCTATGGCACTATGTCACATTTTTACTTAGACTGTCCGTGTTTTGTTTGAATTGGGTTAAGTGGTTGTTCAGATTCTTATAGATAATCTGTTTGTCCTATTGTTTCCCACTCTAATTTTCTTACGATCTATTTGTCGATCTGTCCGTGTGAACAAAAACATTTTTATAATTCTCTCTCTCTCTCTCTCTCTCTCTCTCTATATATATA